TCTGTAACGCTTCTACTTCTGTAACGCTTCTACTTCTGTAACGCTTCTGCTTCTGTAACGCTTCTACTTCTGTAACGCTTCTACTTCTGTAACGCTTCTACTTCTGTAACGCTTCTACTTCTGTAACAGTTCTATTTTTGTATCGGTTTTACTTCTGAGGAAGTCACCGCAAATAGTATACGTATATTAACGAATATGTTAAGGCGACGGGTTGGAGTTCTATACATTTAGATTATTCTAATCGAGACTTCTTTTTTTTCCCATGCGTAAGGAAAGAGCGATGCTTTTTAGCGCATTTTCTCATTCATGAAAAAAATGCACTATTATGCTCGCCATGTCTGTCTGTCTGTCTGTCTGTCTGTCCGTGACTTCACGTTTTCGTCGACGAGAAAATGCGCTCTCTGTCACTGACTGCAGTGAGTACTGAGTTATTTTTTTACGCTTATGTGGGTCATCCTGACCCGTTAGGACCGGCAAAATGGCGCCTCGGTGCTATAGGCTGAAAGTATATGTCACCAGTAGGACAACATGATATCTTCAATTATCTGAATCAGGAAGTTGTCTTCAATATTCGTGCTTCGAGTTATCTTCAATTTTCTGAGACTCGGCAATAAGTTGTCTTCATCATTCGTGCTTCGAGTAATTAATTCATTACATTCAGCCATTTTGACGAGTGTTGCAGCGCTGCATTTGCTTGTTATTCCTGAGTCGGAACCTGGAGAGTCGGCAGACCAGTTGAATTAAATAATTTCCGAAGAGCGTTTAGGCAATGTACAGGTTTTTTTTACAAATTAAATTACAAATTTGTCCGAATTTTACGCCTTTGTGTCAAACAGGTATGTAAGTCGGAGAAGTGAGTCAGATGATTGAGTGAGTCAAGGGGAGAGTAAGTGAGACGAGAGACGGCAAGAGTCTCATCAGTAAAGGGAGAATATTGAGTTGAGTTATACGAGAGAGTTGGGTGAGTGAGACGAGAGAATGGGGCGCAAAGTAAATGAGACGAGAGGGTGAGTGAGTGAGACGAGATGGGAGGTGAGTGAGACGAGATGGCAGGTGAGTGAGACGAGATGGCAGGTGAGTGAGACGAGATGGCAGGTGAGACGAGTGAGTGTATGGCATATGGCAAGACAAGGACGCGTAGCAATTAGCAGGCAAGCAGGCACGCAGCGCTGCAGTCTTGGCTATGGAATTAGCGTCGCTCAATAAGCTTCATCGCTTCATGTCCTGCCTCTGGGCTGTGGGGCCCTGTTGCTATTGAGTGGGCTGTGGGGCCCTCTCGTTATTGAGTGGGCTGTGGGGCCCTGTTGCTATTGAGTGGGCTGTGGGGCCCTGTTGCTATTGAGTGGGCTGTGGGGCCCTCTTGTTATTGAGTGGGCTGTGGGGCCCTCTCGTTATTGAGTGGGCTGTGGGGCCCTCTCGTTAGTGAGTGGGCTGTGGGGCCCTCTCGTTATTGAGTGGGCTGTGGGGCCCTCTCGTTATTGAGTGGGCTGTGGGGTCCTCTCGTTATTGAGTGGGCTGTGGGGCCCTCTCGTTACTGAGTGGGCTGTGGGGCCCTCTCGTCATTGAGTGGGCTGTGGGGCTTTCTCGTTATTGAGTTGGCTGCGGGGCCCTCTTGTTATTGATTGGGTGTGTGGGCCCTCTCGTTATTGAGTGGGCTGTGGACCGCGGCCCACTCTTGATTGCTACACATAATTCAGCCCATCACCTGCACCTTGTTTCTCCACTTAATCGAACTTGGTAAACATATAGATACGCCTATGCATTTACCCATGAAAAAAACATTGCAATTTAAATAGTTGTATCATATACCTATACTCGAACTTACATTAGGAAATTCGGGTGTATCTGTTGATCGTGTTGATGGCCGTTGAATTGGGCGTGATGAAGCCGTGGACTTAGTTCCAGCGGAATGGCTGGGTGTGACACCATCGAAACTGATTCCATGCAAGTAACTTAAGAATTATCACCACAATACTTGATCTCAATTAATATTTTTCTTGCACTTTTATCAATGGCGGACTCACAAGCACTTGATTCCCAACCTGAAATTCTAAGTAGATTAGATGTATAACTTTGCAACCATCTAATACTGAAACGATGGCATAAATTTCATGTGTTTTGCATTTATTATAATCGTTAGCTAAGACCAGTGACGTTTATATTGAAATTTTAGATGCCACCACACACGTTGACCCAGTGGCCAGAAACAAAGCGTTGTGTTGGTGCGCGCGTCACAACCTCCACGTACAAAGGCCAGCGCCCGACTGACTGCGACCAGACCAAAACACTTCATTGTCTAACCGCCTCGATGCGCGTTGTCTGCTGTCGTGTCTAGGCTCTTCAATTCATGACCGGTCATTGTCATCAACATCAGAGTTGACGCATTTCCCTATGTCATTCAATTATTCCTAGGATATAATGCGCGTTATACCTTCTTCGGTTATGTTGAACTCGCCATATATTCGCGAGTTTCGAAGGTATTGTCACAGGATTTCTCCCGGCTTGTGTGCGGGGCAGAAGGATACTCTGTTCTCAGCATCCTTTTAATTATTGAGTTTTTTCGCTGGTCAGGGAGTGTGTGCAGATAATGTTAAGTCATCTCCCTGAATGGCTCGCCAAGAGCTTGCTGCTCAGCAAGACTCTCAGGCATAATGCCGCGCCATTACGCCGCTTTACATTTACGCCGTTGCGCCTTTACGCAGCTGCTTCCATTCGCGGATGCGCCTTTCGCCGTTGCGAATTTACGCCTTACGCCGCTGCGCGCTGAACGTCGAACCTCCTGTTCATAGATGGTGGCTTCGACCGAAGGATTTAGATGGTGGTTGCAAACGAAGGATTTAGATGGTGGCTACAAACGAAGGATTTAGAAGGTGGCTGCAAACGAAGGATTTAGATGGTGGCTGCAGACGAAGGATTTGGATGGTGGTTGCAAACGAAGGATTTAGATGGCGGCTTCGAACGAAGGATTTAAATGGCGGCTTCGAACGAAAGATTTAGATTGTGGCTTCGAACGAAGGATTTAGATGGTGGCTTCAACCGAAGGATTTAGATGGTGGCTTCAAACGAAAGATTTAGGTGGTGGCTTCGGACGAAAGATTTAAATGGTGGCTTCGAACGAAGGATTTAGATGGTGGCATCAAACGAAGGATTAAGATGGTGGCTGCAAACTAAGGATTTCAGATGGTGGCTGCAAACGTAAGGATTTTAATGGTGGTTACAAACGAAGGATTTAGATGGTGGCTTCGACCGAAGGATTTAGATGGTGGTTGCAACCGAAGGATTTAGATGGTGGCTTCAAACGAAGGATTTAAATGGTGGTTGCAAACGAAGGATTTAGATGGTTGCTGCAGACGAAGGCTTCAGACAGTGGCTTCAGTCTGGAATGTCCGTGGAATGCTGGTGCGATGGATGACCTTATGTGCCGCGTCTTCCTCTATTCTCTTTAAATGATGTGGCATGCCTTGCTTGCTTGACATTCTCCTTGCCTAATGGTTTCCTGCGCTTGTTTCATTCCTCGCTTCATTTCTCGTTTCATCTGTCGTTTCATTACTCGCTTCAATCCTTGTTTCATTCATCGTTTCATCTGTCGTTTCATTACTCGCTTCATTCCTCGCTTCATTTCTCTTTTCACCTGTCGTTTGATTACTCGCTTCTATCCTCGCTTCATTCCTCGTTTCATTCTTCGTTCCATTCTTTATTAGAAATTTTACATTAAATTTTGCATCACTTCTGCAAATTTGAAAATTGAAAATTGTGAATAAAATTTTTCAAGTTTCTTGTTAAAAAATAAATATATTAGTTGCGTGGTCTTCGAATTAAAAAAGTTTTTAAGCCGATGGTGACGCCTACGTGAGTTCTTTTACGTTTTTTACGTGTGTCCTCTATTAAACCAAATTATCTTTTTTTTTAATAAATTACTACCTTTTTCCGCTTGTTATTCAATTCTTCAAGATTAGCCCGGTCAATTAAACTTTATTATATTACTAATTACATGACAATACTAATCATTTTAAACTTTGAATTTGTGTTAATCTTGCTTCATTAACCATATTACCGTCTTATTCGTCAATCATCATCATTTGGCTAACTTTGGCTACTTACCTCTTGAGTGGTCCAATTACTCAAGGTAATTATTTTTAGAGTTAATAGGATCACTTAATTTGTGGATTTTATTTATTTTGAATTTCAAAATAATCTTTGATTATTTAGTAGCAATTAATAAAGTTTACCGCTTTTTGCAACAAAACACCTGAGTGACGCGGCAGTATCTTCCGAACGCACTACTGCCTCTGATCATTCCTTAACCAATGTAAGACCGAACCTGCCGGACCAAAACAATATTTTGATGCACAAGAGCAACAGCAAATTAAGCTTCTCCAGTTGCAACTATTCATTTAATTATCCAAATGATCGTACTATGATAAGCACTTTCAATAAATAATCTGGAATACCCGAAAATGCTTTTGTCTTCACCATCAATACCAATATTTACATTCTTCGTTTCATTCTTTGTTTCATTTCTAGTTTCATTTCTCGTTGTATTCCATGTTTTATTTATGGTTTGATTTCTCTTTGCATTCCTTGCTTTATTTCTAGTTTCATTCCTAGTTTAATTCCTCGTTTAAATTTTCGTTTCATCCCTCGTTTTATTTCTTGCTTCATTCCTCGGTCATTGAAGTCGAGTCTCGGATTGTCAATCCGAATGCATAAATGAAGATGCCGTAATTAATGTGAATTAATGTGAACCAGGAGTGTCGTGGCTTTGCTTACATTCTCAGTAATTAGCTTGAAATTTGTATTGCCACCATTCATCTTTTTATAAACTTAAATTTAGTCACTTTATCTTGCTATCTAAAGGAATTAGCCTAAATTTATTGTCTTGGTTTTCATTCATCTTTTTTTTATAAATTAACTTATGAACTCCATGAATTCTTCCTTTTATGAGTTATATCCATATTCAGTTAATACATGAATAGAAGTATTCAGCTCATTCATGAATAATAAACACAAAGAGGCAAACAATGTCAGAGAAGAGACATTAATGACTTTAAACAGATTCATGTAGACCACAGAACAATGAATGTGTCATATTGTCCAAATATTGACACACTTCTTACCCACAGCACGAGCAGAGAAAAAATCATACGCTCATTTGCCGGGCCAAATTAGGTCAGGGTATACGGAGGCAAATAGTGCATCATGCAGGTACAAATTAGGTCAGAGTGACCAACATCGAGGCAAATAGTGCATCATGCAGGTACAAATTAGGTCAGAGTGACCCACATCGAGGCAAATAGTGCATCATGCAGGTACAAATTAGGTCAGGGTGACCCACATCGAGGCAAATAGTGCATCACTATTTGGACAAAGTCTCGCTCATTTTTGTGAGCGTAGGCACTCGAGGACATCCTTGTTAGCTGCTCAGGCTCCTGTGGGAGCCTCTGCCTGACCTGCGTGCGTGTAGTGCGTGGACATGCATGCGTGTCTGTCTGTGTCATGTTCATTGCTATCTTGTCATGTTCATTGCTATCTTGTCATGTTCATTACGTGTTATAATGTCATGTTCGTTACGTGCTATCATGTCGTGTTCATTACGTGTTAAGATGTCATGTTCATTACGTGCTATCATGTCGTGTTCATTACGTGTTAAGATGTCATGTTCATTACGTGCTATCATGTCGTGTTCATTAAGTGTTATAATGCCATGTTCATGGCAGGCTATTCTGTCATGTTCATGGCAGGCTATCCTGTCATGTTCATTACCTTGACGCGTGTCATGGTAATTACGTGCATGCGTGTCATGGTCATTACCTTCATGCGTGTCATGGTCATTACCTTCATGCGTGTCATGGTCATTACCTTCATGCGTGTCATGGTCATTACCTTCATGCGTGTCATGGTCATTACGTGCGTGCGTGTCATGGTCGTAACCTTCATGCGTGTCATGTTCATCACGTGCATTCGTGTCATGTTCATCACGTGCATGCGTGTCATGTTCATCACGTGCATTCGTGTCATGTTCATCACGTGCATTCGTGTCATGTTCATCACGTGCATGCGTGTCATGTTCATCACGTGCATGCGTGTCATGTTCATCACGTGCATGCGTGTCATGTTCATCACGTGCATTCGTGTCATGTTCATCACGTGCATTCGTGTCATGTTCATCACGTGCATTCGTGTCATGTTCATCACGTGCATTCGTGTCATGTTCATCACGTGCATTCGTGTCATGTTCATCACGTGCATTCGTGTCATGTTCATCACGTGCATTCGTGTCATGTTCATCACGTGCATGCGTGTCATGTTCACCACGTGCATTCGTGTCATGTTCATCACGTGCATGCGTGTCATGTTTGCTTCATATTTTTGTAAATGTAGAAATCTTGCTATAATAACAAGAAAATCGAGGAGTAATAGCTACAACGAAAAAACTGTACATATTACATATTAAGATATAAGATGTGCATAATGCAAAAAAGCATGTAAAAGCTTTAATGTATCTCGACCTTGTTTGCACGAAAAGTATTTTCTGCAGTGTTTTTGTTTTTTTCTTCTCTATTTTCTCTATAAATCCAGTTATTGTTTTTTTCTCTCTACTTTCAATAATAATAATAATGACTTATTACAACCACAGCAGGATTTCTACACATTGATATTCTCTTAATTCGTCGTATCTTTTAATTATTTAGGTACTGGTAAATGAGTATTTGAGCATGAGTAGCAGGTTAAGATCTTGACCATTACTGAACATGAGCATGAGTATCATGTTAACTTTCAATTGATGGTCGGTGATTTGCTGTGTAGGCTACGCTGAGAAATCTTTTGCAATATTAATAATATTTATAAATGCAAGGATTCTTAATGCTGAGCATAAGCAAGGTTATGCTTATGAAGTCTAAAAAAAAAAAGTTTCAACTAATTTGAATGTTCTCGCACTCAGAGATATGCCAGGGTCATTGACAAAAAATAAATGCAGGAATTTAAAAGCATTAACTTGCGATTTAAGCAATCTAGTAATTTTATTAAAATAAATGCACTTTTCGCCCTTGTGTTGGTCATATAGGCCTAGTTTATTACGGTTAAGAGGCGCTACGTCTGTTCTCAGCTCGCGCTGTGGGTGAGAAAGTGTGTCACTTTTTGGACATACTTTCCCCTAATTTCTCTTAGTGTGCAAAGGCTCCCCGACAATTCAAAGAATAAATTTTCAGGAGCTTTTTAAAAATTCTTTTATATCTGGTTGTTGATCTATT